TTTTAAATGCTCTTATTATATTAGTTGTCATAGACTGATGAACAGAATTTCAAGGTTCTTAATTCCTTTTTCATTCTAGAACAATTCTTTTTGATCTGCTGACAAATTTGAATAGTTGCAGTAATTAAATAATGTATGTGTCTTTCCTTTCAAGACTCCATATTCATCAATAGTTGTTGTCTGAAAAAAATTTCTCATTTACTTTTCCTTCTATTAATCCACTCTCAGGAACTAACGTTGTGGCATTTCCAAATCTAGCAGAAGAAGTAAGAAATGTTAGCACACTGAGAGTCACCAGGTTTTTAAATGTTATGCTTTAAGAGTGCAATGGGGAATAATGTGAAGACTTCCCAGTGCGACTATTAGAACCTTGCATACGGGCTAAACAATTGATTAGGACATTGAAGCACAGACATTTTTGAGGCATGAGCGGTTGCTTGAAATTGAAGAATGAGAAGATAGAAAACATCAATTACATCGAGCATTTTTTATATTTTACTCCAAATGTTAAAGACTAGAAATTAAAGAGTTTAATTGTCACAGAATGTAAAAAGCTGATATTAAGTTCCATAGAGTAAGAAGGTTAAAAGGTTGATTGGTTGCTGTAATACATAGCAGAAGTATAAGCGTATTTATTTACAATCACTATACGCATCTCAAAATTATCTGTGCTCCATATCCAACCTGTCAATCGTCCGTTAAGCTGTCAATTACCAAAGGTTTATTTTCAGAAGTCTTTGATTCTTGGTTCAATAAAGATTTAAGTACCTATACAGATGCTTACTTCTTCATAGGTAATGAAAATAATCTAAAATACTATTATCAGGTGGTCAGTAGCTAAAACTGTCTTGTATTACATAGGGTCATCAATGATTTTGAAAACTTGCAATAGTGAACACTTCTCAAGTATCTTATACATTTACCTTCAATTAACACAAGGGAGGACTTTTGCTGATGAGCACCAACATTTAACAGATCTCCTGTGCTTGTTTCCAGTGAAGGATTGAAATAGGCTCCCTTACAATCAGTGTTGTCATCAGGCTTTAAGGATGATGGACTCTCCTCTGTGTTGACCTCAGAAGAATCATATGGGGAAGGTCCAATCAGGGAGAGCAATACGGGTAGATAGCACAGGCCATGGAATAATCCATAAAACACAACACAAAAAAACACCTGATGATTAATAAGAATAGTCCATTTTACAGTTGCGTGCTTGGTTGCCAAGCCTTTGAACAGGAGGCTAAGGGTGACCTTGTTACGATACAAACCATGCTGCTTTTCAAATGTTAATGACTTTGTTATCATGCTAACTAGATACTGGTCTCCCTCACAACATAGTCAACTTCAGCCTCACTTCAAATCAAAGGCTTGGCAAGTAAGTATACAATTGTAAAATAACAAATTGGTGAATTCAAGTTTGAGGCTAAGGTTGTCTGGCAAAATTGCTATAGTGTGTCTTACCTCCAAAGATCTCTACTGTGGCCTATGAAACTTACACAACCTTTTCAGCCATCAGATGCAAATGGAAACCAACTGTGACTTGGTCGCTAGCATTCATTTTGTTGCGTAAGAAAGTTTGCTCTTTTTTGCTCCAAGCCATCATTGGCTACTTTTGATCTTTTTTAAGCTCTGATTACGAGATTCAGTCGAAAAGCGCTCTAATTGAAAGTTATTACTTTGATTTCTTACCTTAAAGAAAGTCAATGTCGCATAAGAATTGGAATACACCAGAAGGCCAACAGCTATATATGTACTAAAGCCACCATTCCAAACTGCAGGCCCCATGTCACGTAGGGTGGTCAGCGCTCGTTCTTAAAGAAAATAATATTAGCAAAAAAGTTCTTAAAAATTACTGTTCGATGGACAGAGTCAACATTATTTTATAGGCATTAGACTTCAGGTAGCACAATATTGACTAAACCTATAGAAGACATGGGACACGGAAAAGTCGTTAATCAAGGTTCTTGCAGGATTTTCTTGTAGTGTCTAGAGTTTGAGACATGTAATATTTTTATTATAGTGAGAAGTTATCACTTTTTTCGACAAGATTGTGGCTCACATGAGACTTAAGACACTTCTGCCTCCCTCTTTGGATGTCATGATTTGAGTAGCAAAACGAGACAAAATTAACACTGTTCCTCTATCAGTTTAAAGTTACCCTCACAATTAACCAAAGTGAACTAACCGACCAAGATACTGACCCAATTTTTTTAACAAAAAAATTTCACTGATGCTGTGGTTTAACCGTTTAACTCCTAAGATCTGATTCTTAATTCTCCGCTTTAGCTGCGACACATTTCCTTGTAATTTAGTGAAGAGAAATTGGTGTTAGTTGGTAAGTTTGAGTATTCTCATCACCTGTTTCCTGGATAATACAGGAAGAAGAAACATGTTAACCACTTTCGAGAGTTAAACGGTAAAGGTAAAGAATCCGATCCTACCAACGCACAGACCAACGCGTCGATCAATATCGGTCGACTGTTGATCGACGCGTTGGTCGACACGTTGGCCTTAAAACGTACAAGATGCGTCGGTGGTGTGTCAGTGGTGTGTCGGTGACTTTGTTTGGGCGTTATTTATCTAAAGCAGTACTTAACCTTGCTTTTCCACATTTAAATGTAATGTCTTTACCTTTACCTATTGGATCTGTTTTTCTCAACTTACCTTTTCGTGTACCAGATGTTATCATGAAAGTGTGTCCAATGTGGGATGAGTAATCCACAGACAATCCAACGGCCAACACAAGGAACATGGTAGTCACAATATCAATTGTCAGACCCCAGAAATGGATTGTTCCCATTATTCCAACCTGTTTTTGAAAAGTAATGTTAAATGGCCAAAGTGTTTTAAGTCCATTATGGTAACAGAAAATAGTCATAGTTAACCTCTAACAGGTAATTGAGTGTAAAAACTAAGTTGGAAACGTAAATTGGCCAAAAGAGTTTAAAGGCTGACATTTCGAGCGTTAGTCAGAGCGATTGGTTGACCTCTCAGAAACTTGTTCGACAAACAAAATAAAATTTCTCGAATTCCTCTAGTAACCACTTGTTTCAATAGCAATTAAGAATTTTCGTCATTTTATTAATACCATTTTAAGTACCTTTGTTACCCTCACTATCAAAGTCATCATCATCATTATCATTGTCAATAACAACATCAACTTCTGCTACTACAACCACTACTGCTTGTTATATATCTACAGCTAAATATAATGACAATGTTGCAACATCGTTAACAAGACAATTTTACAACTCACCAATGTAAATCCAACACAGGAAAAGACTAAAAAGCATGTCCTCAAGCTTGATAACACAACAGGAGTAGCCACCAATACTGTTAAAAGTGCCAGGCCCATGTTTCGGTAAAGCTCCGTTGAAATAATCTAAATAAATGAAAACAAATCACTCTGCTTATACACTTAACTACTGGCATGCAAGTTTACACAGATATGTACCCCTGCAATTTTTCAGGAGTACAAGATGATTTAAAAATGAATTTCAAATCAACATTCGGTGTTGCTATGAAAATTAATGGAGCATTTGCCGTATAATTTAATAACAATGTCAACCATGGCTTTCCTGATATACAAAGGGCTATTCATGATATGGAAGTGATAAGTCAGTTTGACCGCCTACTTGTGTTCATGAACCTAGGCAAAAGAATTGAAAAAGTCACATTTTGAGAAAATGTTAAACCCAAACTGTCGTGAGTCTTAACTGAATCTTATCATAATTAAATATATGGATAAATGTTTGAGCAGAAAGTACCAGAAACCCTGCTATTGTATGTTCGCTGAACTAGAGAAGAGATTGTGGTTCATTCAACAGAAAAAAAAGGGGAAAAATTGGGAGTTGCTGAGGCTGGTATTCAAAGTTTCTTTTTATGTACGGTCTGCTTGATGAAGGTGTCACTGTATGTGCAAAACACCAAAAAGGTGTACCTTATTTGTTTCACTTGTAAAGTAATATGGTGAAAACGGAAATCCAAGGCTGTCATTTGGAAACACGGTTTTAATCTTGTCTCGTAAATTCTCCATTGCTTTCACTTCTTCTCGCGTTGAGTCCAAGTTTTTATGCCTCAAGCGTATCTGAGATGCCTATTGTGAGAGCATTTATGTGAATAATGGATAACATCCTCCTGGCTGAGGGGATGTAAAATCAACTGTAGCTGAGAGCAACGTGATAAAATGAAAATAAATGAAAATATTTATATAGCGTCAAATCCACTAATTTTCCACGGCGCCTTACATTAAAGATTATTAAAAAGCTAAAAAAAAATGGAAAGCTAAAAAACATATAGCAATAAACTAAGTTAAAAATTGTAAGATAATTAAACACATCCATCATAAAAAAAATTTAAAATAGTTATAAGCTTGTTTAAAAAGATACGTTTTTAAATGACTTTTAAAACTAGGCATTTGAGAATTGAGAAACTCGATATATAATCCATAATAAAACATATTCTTTCCCCTCATATGCAAATTTTTGACAAAGTAATCGCACTTGATATGTGTGACAATCTGCGAGAACAATTTACAAAGGAGATGATACCACAACTTATTCACCGTATATGATGAGCTGAATTACGCTCGCGTTTTGATTGGTTCTTACTTATGATCTATTGGAGGACGGATGCATAGATGACGTCATCACTGCTTGCATCTTGCTTCTTTCTTATAAAAAAGCAAACCGATTCCATGTCGCTGTGGGTCCATTGAGAAATAAGTCACAGAAGATGTTAAAAATGAGGTAAGACCATTAGTAACACTCGGCTGTGCCTCGTGTGCCACATTTTTGTTCTCACCACATTTTGTTATCATCTGTGAGCTATAAGTGAACAGACGTATAGCAACATTGGTTAAGTATTACCAGAATCTGTAGTGGAAGCTGACCAGTCCCATTTTTTGTCCTGATATCACTCTGATAACTGAGACCAGAAGTACGAAGGAACTCGCCCAGCCATGGATAAAAACATGTCTCGTTGGTGATCCTCCCTTGAAAGATAAAAACAGAGATTTCACATAAGACTTCTTTTACACTGTGACAAAACACATCTGTCAACAAGCATGTAAACTGAAAGTATCTGCTCAAAGTCCTGTTACAAATTAATCAAAACTATGACATAATTCAAGAAAAAAACCGGCCGTCAGTTATGCGTTTTCCGAGAAAAACAACAGTTAACTTGGTAAAATGCGCAACAAGTGCGCACATGATGCGTATTGTCCAATAACATAGGCATGACGTGTACATTCCCCTATTTGTGTTCAGATGGGGTTGGTGATAACCAAGAGAATATAAACTGTTAATAATCTCTTGAAATGACCAATCACGTTCGAAAATCTTGCTATAATTTTAATTTTTTTTATAATCAATTTTTTCTATCTGTGGCTCATAGTAAATGGCTGTTATCTGTTTAGGAAAGTTTCATTTCCTCTGATTACTTGGATCATTCTTTAACTTTCAATATGTCATATGCTTACTTTTCTGGATAAACTTTCCTGGTTTCTTGTCAATAGCCCAGCTAACAAAGTCTTCATACCAGCTGTTTATAGAACTAGAAACTATATATTTTTTGTCACTGACTGCAATTTCGTAGACCCTGTGAAGTTTATCTTGTTCTTTAAAGTAATCGAACTTTCCTGAGGAAAGAAATGGTTAACAGATCCACATAATGCCCTTCTGAACTAGTCCTGTTCATGAAATTAAAGTTAGCAGTCAAATCCATAGGAAAATCATGAAATGAAAACTGATGTTTGTAACTGCTGTTTCTGAAGTCCAATTGCGAAACTAAAAACCTCTTCTGGCGGGAACGGCTTTTTCAAATAAAATAAACGCAAAATGGGATAACGTGATTCCCAACTCACAAAGTTTTTTTCTTACTTGCGACCATGTTTAAGCTAAGAAAAACTTGATCTAACATCAAGGCAAATGTAGCAGATCATAATAAGAAACACTTTACTGTACTGTTCTCTTGGAATTTTTTTAAGAGAAAATAGAAGTAAATTTTTAAAAACCCCTTGCTAAGCGTACCTGTATATATCTTCACTGGGGCCCCGTTTACTGGAAAATACTGCAACGTGAGAACAAAAAATTTTGCGATTATTCCAATTGAAAACAATGATCGGAAAGAATTGCTTGAAAACATTCCAAAACTCTCAAAAGACAAACCTCGAGACAAATTTTCAATTACAAAGTTAACTAAAGGAAGGAAATATGTAGGAAGTGAACAAAGGAAGAAAAAAAAACATGTTGAGACAACGTTTAACTTTGAGCTAAACGTAGTTCACACCTCCTAATTATCTTAAACATACCTACCTCCTCCCGCACCTCTCCTACTCCCCTCATCAAATGTTGAAATGGGTGAACACACATTATAAGCTTAGCCCGTGTAGCCGTACCCTCCCCCTGCCTAAGGTGAACAGAAGCGATTCTGTTTCACCTTTCGGGGCAGGGTACAGCTACACGTAGGCTCTGTAAGCTAAGCAACGCTGATTTTAAGGCAGGGGAACTGAGGTTTCCCAAATAATGTGATATAGAGGGGAGAAAAGTAATGACAGAAAATGTAGAGACAGTTTTATCCAAGATTGCGAGTTTACCTTCCTGTTGGTAAACGTATATTTGTAGGACATAGAGTCAGGAGGCAAAAAGCGGTTCTGATCGAAGGACAGCTTTAGTATAATTGCTCCATAGAGGTTAAAACCAAACAGGGCTCCTGTTATGATGATCACAATAACCTTCCCAGGAAGAGACAGCATGGCTGCTCCAATCTTGTCTATGCTCGTTTTGAGAAAATCTTTTTTTGCAAGGGAGCTCTCTCGATAGTTATCTGGTAACGTTATGCAACAGCAGCAAAAGCCATCCCTTTTTTTCTTTTGCCTGTATCAACAAGAAAACAAGAATAGTTTTTAGTCAGTTCTGGATGAAATGTTCGAGCCTAAGGGAGGTATTAAGAATGTATTTCAACAAAATAAAAGAGAGAGAAGAGGACGATGGCACAAGAAACCAAAGTCTAGGTATCCCTAATTTGACCGATAGTCCATCGGTCTACAGTGCTGTTAATGCAGAGCTTACGAATGTACAGTGTTTTCTGGACCGGTGTCACAAGCGGAGATACATATCTAGGGCGGTTAACTTCTATTATCTATTAGAAAATCAGGATAGGAAAATATTCGACAAGGTAAAACATCAAGAGAGACATCCTCTGAGAAACCTGATACGTAAACTGAAGGTCACAGAGTACAATCCAAGACACAAATCTAGTCACCGGCCAAAATTAAACACGGATCGAGAGAAGAACTCCTATTTTAATCGCCTAATTTTTAACATAAGATATGTATTACTACAAGAATATTATAAAGATAATTCAGACCGAAAAAAAAATTGCAAATTGCCGAAAAGCGGATAAGGTAAAGATGAAAGCATAATTAATTCTACGTTTTGCGTATGATTGATTAAAATGATTGCATATTTTTTCTTGACCAAATAACAAGCATTGTTGCTCCTTATATATGACATGAATGTTGGTTGTTCCTTAACGATTACGCAAGGATGATCAGCTCAAAAGTTACTCTCTTGGGAAGAGCACCTTGTAAGTGATACAGTAATAATTTGCAATTCGAAAAAAGCGAAGAAGCTCATCCAAATGTTCGGAAGGCAAATGTACAGGTTCCGGTTGTTCGAAGATTGGATATAGCTACCCACTGGATAAATCTCTACCCGGTGGACAACGTAGTGCGTTCTGTTATCACTTATCCAACGGATAAATCGCTATCCGATGGTTTTGCTATCACTAATCCACCGGATAGCGATTTATCCGTTGGATAGCGTTGTCCGCTCCTCTATCAGGATAACTTGGCTCAGACCTTTAAAGGGTGAAGTTAAACTATTTTCTTTACGGGGCTTGTTTCAACGTTAGCAAATCTGATTTCACTAACTTAACGTGAGAGATAACAATTACGACCAGAATGTTACCTGCGCGCGTCGATCGCCAATAACGCTGTGAACAAAGTAGCTTGAAGGATGAAGTCTGCCAAAACACCTATTTTAATACATACAAAAGTTACAAACGGTATGGGTCAATCTTTTCGTGCCCCATTGAGCAAAATATCTCTAGGATGTTGAAGTATACGTCATCTTGCTCTTTTTATGAAGAACTAAAGGTTCTTAAAAATTGAAAGGTGAAAATGTTAGTTGTTCTAGTCAGCCATTTGACCTGCTTTCAGGTATGGAAAGTTAAAAAGAGTGTGATGATCACTTGACGTACATGTTCACTAAGTTATATAAGGTGCTGATGTAGGATCTTACTTATTTACCTTGTCGATTCCTTATCCAATCCCCTGAGTATGGGTAAAATAACTTACCTATTGCCGCATAAATACAGAATGATCTCAGTGCTGGTAAAATCTGCAGTAAAATGTAACAAAACCACGGTCATGTGAGACTTTGAAACATGGAGGTTTAAAAGACTAGAAGAAAAGGTGTGGACGTTGCAAAAGTAAAAAATACAATGGATTACGAAAACCAACGGTAGAAGTTCGCTCAATCTCTTTTTAAAGTAGAACCTGGAGAAATTTCATTCCGCACATTCATTAGCTTATTGAATTGTGATTTAGAACATATGAGAGGCTTTTAAAAAAGTCGACTGATAAGGAGAAGAGTATCGTGTCATTTTCCCTTGGCATTTACGTCCCTCCCAACCCATCCCCCTCCTGGAGGAGCGTTGAATTACATCCCTTAAAATAGCTGGAAAGGAGACCAGGAAAAACCAGACCAATTAAAACTACAAATATATTGAATACGTTTTAGTACAAACCGTAGTTGATCCTATCAGAAAGGCAAGAAAATCCGTCAAAGTTGTGATGGTGATTGAGCATCCCTGAAACAAGACAGCGACATAGTATGGCTGAATTGATGCAATCATGCGCAACTCGGCACTGATTGAATTAGGAACTGCTTCCTGACTCTACGTAACGCACAGTTTTTATCTTTTTTATCTCATTTTTCGATACCTTTTTTTTTTATTCGCGTGCCCTGATTGTTTGAAAGAAGAGTGCGCCAAGTTTGTTGATCACTCTTCCGCGACTCGTAATTTACAAACTTTCCGCTCATCATTCCATTCGGGCTATTATACCGTAAACCAATAGGAAGTGTACATTACTATTCAAAAAATTGTTGAAAGATTTCGACCTTTTACAACTTACAGCATGTTTCAGAGCAAGTCCAATTCGTTCTTGTATCGGTTGAGTCTGACATATTTCTGGTGTTAAGTTGCTCCAAGCTTGAACGATCACAAACATGTCATCCACTCCAATACCTGCGAACAAACATTTTAACCTTTTCATTCCTAATATCTCAATATCAATTGTATTCAATGTCTCCCGTCCACTTCCTATCATTTAAGCTCACCCATTGAGTTGATACTTTTCGTTTCTCGAATCACTTTTTTGCTTGAAAATGTACAGATATCGTTAAGGTAAATTCCTTTTTTTTTCACTCTTGGGAGTGAAAAGGCCTAAAGAAATACTTCACCAACATAATTTTATATGAATTAAACCATTGAGAAACGAAGAGAAATTCATGCAACTTGAGATTTTGTTGCTCTTCACCCATATCTTTTTTAAACTAACCATCAGTGTTGAGCTCGCCATCAAAATTAATCATTGTTTATCCACATGCCACCGTTCACATTTAGCTACACTTACCAAGTAAAAGGAAAGGTAATGTAGAATGAATTGGACCGTAGAAAATTCCACATGCACTTGCTATTCCAAATGACACACCGATGGATAAACCAACGCAAAGAACCCCAAATATCGCCAGCCAAACCTTTATGTAGGTTATAAGAAAATGAATTGAAGATTGTTTTAGAGATTCCATCATACTGGAGACCCTATTAAGAGGATGTTAGCTTTCTTTTGAACTGTGCAAAATTGGCTAAGGGGCCTAAAAAGTTTTCCTCCGAATCTGGCATCTAATTTCTCCTGACAATATCATCCTTGAATCACACTTTGACATCGTGAGACTTAAGGAAATGATTACCAACTCAAGAAGCTCTTGATTGGTTAACAAATTCTCCTTGTCAGTACCTTAGGAAATGTATAGAGAACAGTATGGAGAATATGCATACTGATGTTAGGGTGTAAAGGCTTAAGTATCCTTATCGTCATCTCGGGTACCCCGTCCAGAGGATCTAAACGGATGTGTACCATATTTGAAGTGTGCCTAAAATGAGAGACAGAAATCAGAGGATGAAACACTTACCTTAGTATTCATGCGACTGAAATTTCCCAGCATTACAGAAACATAAAAAATAACAAGGATGTATCCACAAGAAAGCAGAACAATGTCGTCTTGTATACTTTTGTCTGCATCTTCTCTATATCTACAAGGAACGAGAAGAGGAGAGTCCTACAGAGTGTTATTAAAGCCTCATATACGGTCTGATAGAAAATACCACACAGATGAATAGAGCTTTTCACGCGTTCTGATTGGTTGGCTCCAAAGTGATCAGCCAGCGGTAATCACCTTTGAGCGACCGAAAAGACACTATCATCGCGGTTCACGAGTTAAAATCCGACCGCGTTTTGGTATATTGAAAGAAGGAATCTTATTGATAACTTATGATGTACCAGACAACAGGGAAAACTTGCAACTTTTGGCAACAAGTTTGAAAAAATCATACCTAACTTCTGTCATGTAGTAAAGCTTCGCATTAGTTGTTTTAGTCGTGTCCATCAGTTTATTGAACTCTTTTTCCCATTTCTCGACCACCTTATCCTCCTGTAAAGAAATATTTCGACTTTATCACACCTTTTGTTGTTCATTTAAGGAAAGTATAGATATACCAGTGTGAGTAGTTTGACTGATAGGGTGGACCTACACCAGTTCCTTTACACCACTTACAGAACGTAATGTTTGTGAAAATGTTTCATTTATTAGTAGAACGTGGATGTTTATGCAAAACTCGATAATGTTCGGCAATTGGCCCAAATGTTTCTAGGTTATTTTCATGGACTTTAATTGAGTCTTGTGCAAATGAGAGTACCCAGGAGCTGATCCATGTCAAATTCTGTAGACGCTTGTCTGTTGAAGTTAATGCTATCGAATGTTACTGTGCATACTAAAATCGTTAATGATTCTACTTTTGTCTAAATGAATGATCTTTAGTGTAAATGAGAATAGTGCCGCGCTGTTGATTAAACTACTCGCACAAATGAAGGTATATTTTCTGCTGATGAACAGCAAAAGGTTTAATCTTTAATTACCTATTCTTGTAATTTAAGGGGATAAAAGTTAAATCAACAGGGGTACGAGTCTAACGTAAAATAATGGTTATGCGTTTTGTAATGACTTAAGTACGTCTGTATTTCTCACCACTCATAACAAAGAAGTGTAAAGTAACCCACCAAACGTCCTTCCTTTGCATTTAGTTTTGGATTGAATTTGATTCCAAACAAAAGAGATGTAGCTTCTGCAGCAACCACGTGTCCTGTCGAGTTCCTCTTGATTCCCCCAATGCACTTTGATAAATCAAACTTTTTTCTGGTCATTGGACTACAAAATTACGAAGAAAAAAAAAGAGAAGGGGAGAAAAACTCTTTAAAAGAAAACTTCACACTTGAAAAATATATAAGCATGAACAAAGTAGTTCTAAAATCGCAATATCGACTGAAATCTACGTTTCGGTATGAAAAATCTCACTTTTTTCCAAATTTTCCTTAATAGCGAATTATTCTTTTCAGTGACTGCGATGTTCAACAAACTGTTGATAGTTATTAAATCGCAAATTGCCCTTAAATATCGACATTAATTATTGGCTCATCACTCAACAGTATGAGGTTGATAATTTGTGAACATGCTTGCAATCACAGAGACTTGGCTAAATGCAAATGATGATGCAGTAAGAAATGAGTTGTGTCCTACAAGTTACAAGCTTTGCGACCATCCACGCACTGATCGCATTGGTGGCGGAACAGCTCTTCTTCACCGAGACTCACTTCATGCGAAAAAGATAACTGCTGACGAGAAAGAATCTTTTGAGTTTTCTGAGTTGACTGTTCTCCGCGTCATCATACTCTATCAACCACCTTATTCAATGTGCACAAGGTTCCCATCAGCACATTCTTTTCGGAGCTCGCTGATTATTTAGAGTCTGTAGTATTGTGCCAGGAACAACTCTTAATATCTGGGGATTTTAACATTCATTTGGATAATGCAGTGGACACTGACGCCATAAAACTGATCGATTTACTGGAGTCATATGGACTTCAACAGCATGTTACAAGTCCTACTCGTAAACACGACCACACCAATGACTTGATCATCACACGTCAATCTGATCAGTTACTTGGGAATACACCGCGTATTGTTCATCCGCTATGATAGGCCACCAATTTTAATGTGGAAAGTTTTCCACCGAAAATTGCAATCAGTCAGCGTGGTCTCTTTGAATACGGACTTGGCTACTTCTGAGTTGTGCCTGATGATTCACAGGAACTTGTTTCAGCTTATAACAATACCCTCACGGCTGTTTTAGACAAGCACGCGCCGTTAATGACAAGAACGATCGTTCAGAGACCTCGTGTTCCATGGTTCAGTCAGGAGATCACGGAGGCGAAGCGTCAACGAAGGAGGGCTGTAAAGAGGTGGAGGAAATCTCGATTGACTCCGATCTTGCTTTTTTCAAAGCAGAACGTAATTTTATTACCCGTCTTATGAACAAGGCTCGGAGGGAGTTTTACAGAAGTCTTATAGACAAATACAGCGGTGATCAAAAGAAACTACTCCGCGCATGTCAGCGCTTATTGAACCGCACAATAGATGATGGCCTCACACCTAATCTGGACAGTGGAACATTCTTTAACGACTTGGGGGAATACTTTGTTCAGAAGGTCGATACGATCCGCACGCAGCTTGACACCGAGCAGCAGACTGATTCACTTCCAGAAGATGGTACTCCGCCTGCTGTTCTTGATGACATTGTGCTATCATTCCCTACTTTTATGATGCTATCAGTTTGAGATGTTCAACAGCTTATCCACAACGCATCCCTTAAATCCTTCTCTCTTGACCCTATGCCACCCACACCGGTTAGCAAATGTGAGGATCTCCACCCAGTTCTCACAAAAATCATCAACAACTCATTGCAGTCCGGGCATTTTCCTAACATTTGGAAAAAGGATCTAGTTTTTCCATTGTTAAAGAATCACTAGAATCATTAGTCATCGTTTTTAGAATTTTAGACTTATTATTTTCTAACAAATTATTGGTAGGATTTTTAAATAGGACTTTAAGGATTAATTAGTTATTTTTCTTGAATTGGAATAATTATAAAAGGGATTTTAGGATTTTGTTGAGTCAATATAATGCGCAGATGAAAATTTCTTTTCCTAGATTGATATTTGCGCAATACAAATCAATAAATACTATTATTATTATATTATAACGATAATAATGATAATTAAGAGATGATAAAGATGGAGCGCTTTTCGATGAGTGTCGTGAAACCAAAACCAAGTAATCACTACAGCCAATCAGAAGGAAGTAAAATACTATTAAGAGCCAATGAGAACTCAAAGTGAAACCAACCAAACTGCCTAAAGCGCGGGAAAAAGCGGGTGACCAGTGCAAGTCGTACTGGTTTTAGCTTTGCACCTGATTGGTTGAGAGAGTGGTTTGAGTTTTGTGGACCAATCACAGAGTAAAGAAGAGCAAAACCAAAGCAATTCCGGATTACTTTCGACACTCAATTGAAAAGTACCACATCGTGATAACAACAAT